GTGTTACAAAGGGAGTTGGTGACACTTGACTCTCACTCCTCAGCTGGCCACAGTCGTGTCAAACTCACAGGGCCACCTTCCCCTGCTCAGCCTCTCCTGGCAAAGTGAGCTCTTGTCCACACTCAGCCAAGTCTTTCATCTTGTCCTGTTTTTATAAAGTCTCCTGCAAAGAAATTGCCTCCTGTTTCCTGTCTCCTCACACAGCTGCTCGTGTGCCCCAAAGAGGTAAACAGTGGAAAAGACAAGATTTGTGTATATTAGCCACGTTATTGGGATGTTTAATGATGAAAACACAAACTTTCCTCTCAAGGCTTCTCTAAAACTGGTTTTTTTCCCCACATTAGTCTTCACTTTATCAGAGAAAAGAAAATAGCAAGACGTCACAGGCAGTTCTGTAGATTTTTACTGCAGAAAATCCAGGCTTTAGCCAGCAAATCAGACTCCCCAGCCTCCTTGTGTTCAGGAGGATCCAGGAAGAGGGAACCACATTTCCTTACTTTTGCCTGGACTTGCTTCTACTGTTGGTGAACGAAGCTGGACAAGGAGCAGAAAGACCAAATCCTCTGCTGGCAGGGCAGGTAAAGCTCAGGGGGCAGCTCAGGGACCACTGCAGGACCAGGAAACAAAACATTGCAGGTTTTGCTCTGAGTTTGGAAGACAATTCTCCCCTCACCTGTTCTTGGACAGGAGAACCTGAGGAACCTGACTCCAGGTGAGGGCAAAGTGTCTTTTCCTGGGCATTCCTGTGTTCCTCTCATACTGGGGATGCTGAGGACGCATTGATAATTTAAATTCTCCATTCCAGGAAGCTTTCTGCCTTCCCTAGCAAACACCTGTCTTGTAAACCAAGCCAATTGATAAAGTTTTGTAGATAAAAGCAGCAAAGGTAAGTAGTCATATTACACACAAACCCACGTTTTCTGCAGCAACAGTTAGTTCCTTTCACTCCAAACCTTCAGCATATTGGAAAATGAACAGGATCAAAGACTGCAATTCCCGTTGTTTCCATCAGCAAGGTGAGCAACCAGCCCCTCTGTGTCCCAAATTTCCACAGAGCCACTTCCCAAGGGCTGAGCTGCTCCAGCCCTGCTCTCTCAGGCACTCCCCACGCCAGGAGAGGCACAAGTGGCCAGGGCAGATGTGCAGGCACCCCCAGCACGGCCCTGCAGAGGAAACCTGTGCTGGCAGCAGTGCCCAGGGCAAAAACCACTTCTCCATTTACCAGCAGCTGCACAAACCTTGTGTTTGATCACCAAACCTCCCTCTGCAGTCCACATTCCACACCTGGGAGCCTTAAACTGGGTTTTCCCCGCCACAATCCCACATTTTTCCCCCAAAAATCCCATTTCCCACCATGTTTTCCCCAAAAAAATCACATTCCCCCCCCATTTTTTCCCCCATAATTGCTATTTCTTCCATTTTTTCCCAAAACTCCCATTTTTTTCCCCAATGTTTTTTCCAAAAAACCCATTTTCCCCCCATTTTTTCCCAAAAATCCCATTTTTCCCCCCAAAATCACCTTGTTCCCTCATTTTTTCCCCAAAAATCCCACTTTCCCCCAGGAGGGGAGCACAGCTCCCTGCTCACCCCTGCAGGAGCAGGAATCCCTCACACACCTCAGGGCTGCCAACTCTTTTCCCTCCAGCTTTGCTTTCCCACCCTCGTTTTCCATTCCCTGCTCCTCTCCTCCTCAACAAATCAACCTCTCTCTTTTCTCTCCCTTTTCTCTTCCCCTCCGTTCAGCAGCCCTTTCTCTCCTTCCCCCCTTCTTGCATCCTTTTCTCCCCCAACTGCTCCCTGCTGCACTCCAACACATCTGTTTCTCATCTTAGGCAAACAATAACCCCTTTTTCTTTTCAACATCTGAACGCCGAGTGCCCAACAATTCAGCACAGTTACACAAACGTGACACTCTGCCTGAAACAAAGACATTTTATTCACCTTGTTTTGCCCAAGAGGTCCAAGCCCCTCTCTCCTTTATCCCTGAAAAGCGTTGCTCTCTTCAAACAAGAAACACACATTTCCAAACGAGTCTGTTTGACCGACACTTTTAAAAATTAATCCAGATAATCAGAGATCTCTGGCTGTCAACCTGCTCATAAAGTGACCAGAAAAGGATCAGAGCTCAAACACCACTGAAATTACAGTTTTCCATAAAAGTTTCCTCGTTACAAACCCCAGCTCACCAGAAATGGATTTCAGGCACACGGAGCAGCCTCGTGGAAGTTTGATTAAATCAAAAGCGTGCAACAGCAAAAAGCCAACCTACCTAAAAAGAGGATTGGAAATGCAGACATTCCGTCTCCCAGCAAGAAGGAATTTTCCTCCCTTTTTTCTTCCTCTCTCCCAAGGACGGCAGGCAGACCTGCAGAGGATTCAAAGGACCGCCTCTGGAATGCACTGAGGGTAATTGCATCCATGTGCCAGAAAAAGAACCAACTTCACTCTTTCTTCCCTCCTGCTATTCATCCCCTGCTCCATCTTCCATCCACATCCAACCAGAGATTTTTATTTTTGTTTGTTTTTGAGGGGATGCAAATTCAGGGCCCTGAGAGTTTCTGGGGGAGAAAGAAGCAGAGGCAGCACGGCGAGGACTTCACATCCACAGCAGCACAGAACAGTTTTGCCTGTCTGGAGAGGAGAGAAGCAGGGGGAAAACACTGAGCTCAATGTTCACCACATGGCTGCCTCCCACTAGAGCCCCTCCCTGCCATCAGCTGGGATTAATAGTGAAGACCAGTCATGTGGGTGAGGTAGAGCTGATTCCCAGCAAGAATACAGATATTTAACAGAGAAACGAGAGGGTTTCTCCAGTGGCAAAACAGTTAAGTTTGGAGGCAGCAAAAAAAAAAAAAAAAGAAGAAAAGAAAAAAAATCAGATTCGACACTCAGGGGTTGGAGGGAGACTCTTGGAAAAAGCTCCTCAGGAGGATAAACACACTCTTGTGGATGCATTAGCTTTGGGCTCTGTTCTGCCCTGCAAATTGGGGGTTTCAGGCTCTCGCTGGAACCCTCGCTCTGCCTGCTGCGTGGTTTCCTTTCTGTGTTTTTGGAGAGAAAGAAATCCCCTAAAAACGGGTTTCATTTCAGTCGTAGCTGCGCTTCAGCGATGAGGGCAGAGCTCAATCAAGCAGAAATTGGTGCCTACGGGCTGTGAGTTTTAACTCCCTCCCAAGGGGCATTTTAAGGCACACAGAGACACCTTTACAGCCCAGCTTCAGCTTCACCCTCGTGCAGGGGAGCAAGATTTTAAAATTACCTCAGGTAGCCCATAAGGAAACCCCCAGCCCACACAGCAGAAGGGAAATAAAGCAGATTGACCCACCTCGGTGCCTGGGAATAGAGAGCAGAAATTCCTCCCCTCAGAACAGTTATGAAAGTGTTTGCAAAACCTCGAGGAAAGCAGCAAACCATGGGCAAGGCTGCCAGCCTGTGGTCTGGGACATCACACTCCAGTTTTCTGAGCTTTCCTGCCTTTTCTCATGTAACTCCACCCAGACACCATTCCTCTATACTTTCCCAAAAAAATCAGGGCTAAAATGCTGCTCAGCAATGAAAACAAACCTTGTGCAGAGCCAGAAGCTGATCCTTTTGGCCACCTTCAGTTCAGGATATTGTGGTTTTGATGAAATACAGAAATATTTGTGAAGCCCTCAGCGAGGGGCAGAACTCTTGGAAGCTCTGAAGGAATTTGGTGCCTTTGGTGTTGATGAGCTCTGTAGGTATTTATGGGAAGATAACAAAGATCAAAACCTAGATCTTTGAATCCTAGAACTGAAATCCAACCCTAGATTTGGATAGATCCAGAAAGAATAAAAGGGATAAAAATCATCTTCTGCATCCAAGTTTCATCCAAGTTTTGTTTGCCCCTCCCGGCCTCAGATGGAGACAGGAGCAGCATTTGGCTCCTCCTCTCCAGAACTGATTTTCTCTCTTTATCACAACATTTTAAACATTATTTTTATCTAATATAGTCTGATTATCCAAATCTGATCTAGATTAAATGGATATCAGAGTTCCCACAGAGCAGCTCTGTCCATCCCACATAACCAAATCCCAAGGTTCCTCCAGAACTTTTCCTCACAGGCTTGACCAAACCTGCTGCTGGTTTCCCTAATGAATGCACCTAAAACCCCCTTGATTCTCAAAGCAGGACAGGAATCAATGGAGAAAAATTCATTTTCTCTGCAGGCCAGGCAGCACTGAGCTTGTCTCTGTGCATTACGAGTGTGACAGAAGATGTCCCTGGCTCTGCTGTGAATTCCCTGATGGATTTAATAGGATCAATTCCTCCCCAGGGAGAGGGAGAGGAGTGCTGGCACCCTGCACTGCCTGCCCAGCCTCCCCCAGACAAAACTTCCTTTGGAAATAAGGTTTACAGGTTTTAAACTTGATTTAAAAACAAAGTTTTGTGTGCCCCTCTGTCCTGGTTTGGGGCAATTTTAGGAGAAAACCTCTAAGGGGGTTTCCTCTAGAAAAACAAATTCACATCCCACGGGGCTGGGGTGTGCAAGGCGAGGAGGGTGGAGGGAGGAAAGGGAGGTCCAGGTGCATGAAAAATCTCCTTTTCTTCATCCTCATCCCATTCCACAGCCCGTTCCCACATCACCTCCTCCTGTGGGGTGCTCTGGGGATTCTCCCTCTGGTTTTGGGCTCCTGCAGCAGTTGCAGTGAGGGCAGGAGCAGGGCAGAGGTGCTGCTCACCCACACATCCTCTGCTGCTTCTGTTCTGGGGGAAAAGCTCCTCTCTGCAGCTCTTTGTGCTTCCAGAGGGGAGGAATTCCTGCCAGGAGGTTTGGGACAGCTCTCAGCTGCTGCTCCATGGGAGATGGATCAGGAATTCTCACCAGGAAGAGCAGGGGATGGGAAGCTGATGTTGGAGATAATCATTAAAGCAAAAAGTTTTGTAAAAAACTGTGATAAACTGAATTATCAGTGTTTCAGAGTTCCTGTACTGCTGTTGACAGAACGCAGCCTTTAAGCTCAGATTAAAACACCTGGCTACAAAAATCTGCAGAAATCCTCCTGGGCCACAGAGCATTTTATGTGGAGCTTCCTCAGTTTCAACTCCTTGTATTTTGGATGACCAAACCTTTCAGAAAACACACACCCTTAAATCTTCAATCTTAAATTTTCATTCTTCAATCTTCAATCTTCAATCTTCAATCTTCAATCTTCAATCTTCAATCATCTTCAATCTTCAATCTTCAATCTCAAATCTTAGAAGTCTCCCATCCCAGCAGTTTTCCATGGTTTTATGCCCCACCTAGCAAGTGTGGGGACTCTTTCTCTAATCCCAACTGATCTTTTTTGTCAATCAAATTTATCCTTTTCACTTTGCTCTTCCTCCTCCAAGGAAACTCTTTGAGCCTGAGCTGTCCCACAGGGCTGCAGAGCTGCTCATTCTCCTCTCAGTGGTGTTTTAGTGTCCTCACCACCCAAAACTTATCCAAAAGCTGCATTTTCTCCCCAAAACTCCCACTATTGCTGCTGACTCCTCCCTGGTGCTGATTTGTTTTTGTCTCTTCTCCAAGATTCCCTGCATCAACTTCCCTCACTCGGTTTTAATGATCTGAGCAGCTTCTTGATAAAGTCACTAAAAGAACAAAATTCATTCATCACTTTGAATGTCTTGAGCAAAAAACCCATTTCTGTTCTGGTTTTGGGGTTGCAACTGAAATAAAGCACCAAGAACACAAAGGGAAAATAAAAACAACCCAAATGGCACAAACAAACCTCAAAACAGACAACAAAAAATGTTAGGGGAGAAATAAAACCCTTCACACACATTTCTTTTCACAATCAGCCACTGGAGGAAAGGCTGATTTGTATTTTTGTATTTCTATTTGTGATTTTGTATTTGTATTTGTGGGAGCCAGACCCTGCTCTGTAAAGCAGTTGTTGTTGAAGGAGCTCTCCTCCCTCAGCCAGGCTTCAATAATTGATTAAAAAAGCACAATTATTCATTTAGTATCAGTAGGAAAACATCCCTTCAACGAGGCTCAGCACTCACAGTGTCAGGAAATGTATTTGAAGGAAAAACCAACTGAAAAGCTCTTTAAAGCTCCAGCTCAGAGCCTCGGTACAGAGCTCCAAGGTTTATTTTTCTTTCTTTGAGGGGAAAACACCCCTATTATTTTTTATCGTCTTATTTTCCTCTCTGAGGCTGTAACTCAGTAGAGTCAAAATAAATTGTTCCTCACACAAAGAAAGAGCATTTTTAATCTCCTAACTTCACGCTGATGCTTCAAAAATAAAGAGCTGAGCACAAACCTGTTACACTGAATCTTTACTAGAAAGCAAACCAGGTCAAAACCTACAAGGTTGAATTTTTATCACCATAAAATCTTGAAATATTTGTACAAGACAAGACCTCTGTTTACAAGCCACGCTCTAAGAACACTCCTGAGAAGAAAGCATCACCCACTGGTCTAAAAAATGCACCAAGGCATGATAAGCAAACAAGAAATTCTCTTTTTCTTCAAGTTTCAGGCTCCAGCTACAAGGAAAAAAGTGAGGGTGCAGAGGAATGCAGGTGTGGGGTTCAGGGGATTAAACAGGGAGGGTCAGAGGACAAGTGGCAAAAAAAAAATTAATGGCTTGTAATCTTAAAGGTCTTAATTTTTATTCTAATTTATTCATTAATTGAAAGGTAATAATAATAGAAAGTGTTGGAGGAAAAGCCGAATAAACTGGCCAGGAAGAGGAATTTATGTGGAAGTAATGGCTCTGAAAAAGACAAATTGTTTCTTTTAGTGCAAGGTAAAAATCCTTGGATTTTTTTAACAAGGAATTACTTCTTTCCTAAGTGTGCTGGGGAAGGATTTGAGTGCATAAAGTGAATTTAATTGAGAGTAAAATAGAGGAAAACAGAAAGAAAGAGGCTGAAGAAGGACTGAAGAAGGGGTCACTGGGCCTAAAGCTCAGCTCAAGGAGGTTTGGGTGCCTGAGGAGTTTTTCTTGGGTCTCCTGAGCATTATTTCTCTTATATTTGTCATTTACTCTGTTGCTTCTCTTGAATTTCTCTTTTATTCAGTTGTTTCTCTTATATTGGTTATTTATTCCATTGTTTCTCTTTTGTTTGTCGTTTATTCAGTCGTTTCTCTTGTATTTATCATTTATTCAGTTGTTTAATATTTCTCATTTATTCAGTTGTTTCTCTTATATTTCTCATTTATTCCGCTGTTTCTTTTGTATTTCTCATTTATCCAGACAGTGAATTAAATCAAGAATTAAATAATTAAAGAAGGTGCTCCATGGCGTGGTGCAGCTTTCTGCCAGAGAAATGAGGCAAGACAAAGATGCTGCTCTACGTGGTGCTGCTAAAATCCCTTTTCCCAGCGCTTTATTTCAGTTTAGATTGCTATATAAAATACACAGCATTTTATATTGCTATAAAATTATGTAATAATGAAATTATTTTATTTATTGAGTGGCTGTACCTCTGCATTTAGGGCTGGAGGTGGCCCTGAGCTTTCCTGCAGGCCCTGACACTGACACCCAGCACCTGCCAGCTCTGCTTTGCCATTTCCCTTCTCTCTTCCTTCCTTTTCCCTCTATATTCCCTTCACACCTCAGCACAGTCCCTGTGG